TGTGTTTTTAATTTCAAATACCAATTGTTTTTTGCTGGTAGATAAGAAAAGCAATAGACTTTGTATGCAGGTTGACTATTCCTAGTCCAGAAATCCAAAATATTAACTGCTCTAAAATTTGAAGCTTTTTGACTGCTGACATGAGGACCAAGGGAAATGGCTCACTGGACCATTTTGGTTTTTGGAGTAGGGATGGTAAAGCCATAATTATATAATGCAAATTTCATAAAAGCCAAAAAAATCCAAAATTGGAAACATTTCTTGTCCCAAGCATTTTGGCTTAGGATCAGCTTGTTTTAAACTTGTTCATGCAACCTTACTATAATTGCTTTTCATTCTATTTTTTAGGGGAGGGGTGTCAATTTTCCTGGATTTTCTATGTTAGATAACCACCTCATCTGAAAACAAAAAGTTTTATTTTCTCATTTCCAATCTACCTTGTAATTATTTTTAAACGTCCATTTGCATCAGCCTAACTACATATAACCTTACTGAGGACAAAGTTTTCATCTTTAGTTGTCACTTCTTTTACCCTCAGATTTTTTATTAGTTTTGCCAGATATTATTGCGGCACTAATTTAGCTATAAATAAACTGCTTGTAGAAGCTATTTTGTCAAGCACTCTACAGTATTCCATGGTAACTATGATTATTCTTGGGTAAACTGTGCCTCAGTTTCTTTGTCTGTAATGCGATGTTGTATTTATTTTATAGACTGATGTGAAGACCAAATAAGACTATACATTAAGTTCGTAGAGCTATGGCTGGCACATCATCAGCCCTCAAGAAATTATCGTTATGTTTTGTATTGGGAAACAGCAACTGCTTTTGCGCAGCACCACACAGAACTCTCAACAGCGAAGGAATATCAACTCAGGCGGACAGAGAGTAGTAACTTCCCCTCCGACCCCCCACATTTCAAACAGAAAAATAAGGCAGGAGTTGAGAAGGGGTAGTGAGTGAGAGGAACATTTCTGAGCCTATGGTGGACAGGTACAGCAAGAGGAGAGTGACGCCAGGACAGCAGTGGTGGAAGTCGAAGGTATCCCAAGGGGGAGCATGGGCTCCCGAGACCTGTTTGAATTGTAGGGGACCAGAACCTAGCGACCGTGAGCTGCGATACACACAGTAGTCAGCGGATGGCACGGGGCCAGCGGGCACGAACTGCCAGAAGAGCGGAGAAGACTGGGAGCATAACCGCGGGGCAGCGGCCGGTTGGTACAGCGGGCGACGTGCACGGCCCTACATTGCCAGATGCCGGTAGCGGCAGGAACGACCCACGCCCAGGCCCCTTTACTCCCGCCGCCCCGTTACCTAGGGGACGGGATCACCTGACCCGGGGCCGTGCGCCTGCGCGGGCGGAAGGCGGGGGCGGCGCCGTGACGCGCCTCGGGGGCGGTCCTTGGGCCCTCGCCTCTGTGCTAGCCTCGGGCCTCAGAAGTCTGTGCCAGTGACCGGAGGCGGCGACCGCGAGTGAGTCCTTGTGGGCTAGGTGAGAGGCCAAAAGGGGGCAAGAGGGACGCCGGTGCCGGGTGCTGGGTCCCGGGCGCGGGGACGTGGGGCGGAGGCGTGAGGGTCCCCGGGCCTCTTAACCGAGAGCGTCCTGGTCGCAGCCGTTTTCGGGAGGCGGCAGCGACGCCCTCTCCTCAGGGGGTTCGCGCCCCTCCCTGCGCGGTGCTGGCTGAGGACAGATTTGCGGGAGCAGCGCGCTCTGCCTGCCGTGACCCCGCGGTTTTCGAGCTCCTATCCGGGCTGGGACTGGGGCTGGGGTGGGCAGAGCCCGGAGGTACGGCCGGGTGAACGCCGGCAGCCCGGGCCCCAGCTCTGGGATTCTTCCTGGGACCGTTTCTCGATCCTTGTTGTTCTTGATAAGATCTCCAGACAAGTAAAGAAGGAGCCTCTGGCCACGGTCTCTCCCCGCGTTTCTTGGGCTGTGCTTTCTTTTGGGTTATTTGGAACGTCCTGTCTCCCCGCGTTTCTTGGGCTGTACTTCCTTCTGGGTTATTCGGAACGTCCTGGATTTGAAAGCAGGAAGGAGGTGTTTAGTGGGCGAAACCTAGACTTTTTTGGAAGGGGGTGGGGAGAGGTTGTTCGCCCTGAGCTTTTTCCTGGTGCTGTTGGACCTGAGGGAGAAACGTTTCCAGTAGGGTATGTTTAGAAGGAAATACTCCTGAGATCTGATGACTCAGAGCTTTCCTTTCAGGATTTCCTTGTAATGGTGGGAAAGGGAAGGCAAATGGGTGTGGAAAGTTTTTACTTTTATCAAAGTGGGATTATTGAGTCATGGAGTCTTCGAATGTGCTTATTTTTGAAAGGAGTTTCTAGGATTATCTATTCTGTATAACCGCATACACATTTATGGTTATTTTTTCCATTACATACTTTCCTTGGAAAGTACACTCGGTTTACCAAACTCTAACATCCGCTTGTTTAGTAACTCCATTATAAACTAAACTTCAGAGACATTAACTTTTAGTTTTGGGCATCATAGGAAAAGATGTAAACGTCATAAAAAGGGAAGAATTTGCTAATGGTTGCCAGTTAAATGTACTGTTTAATTAAACAGTTTCTTAAAATGAGCGTGGCACAACTATTTTCCCTGTTGCCAGATTTGGGTACTTTTTATAGGTATTAAATGCCAAGAGGTTATAAAAAAGAAAAGCTCCCCAAACAACTTTAAAATACTTTCTACACTTAGTAATAGTTACGTTAGCATTTATTAATTTTTTTTCAAGTGCTGCCAACATCTTTTGTTAATATTGTCTTTGAGTAGGTAAACGATCACATGTCTCAAAATTTAAGCAGCATACAAAGGTATATAGTTTCAAGTCTCCTTCCTTCTGGCAGGTAGCCAACTGTTTTAAATTTCTTAGGTATTCATCCAGGAATATTATATCAACACAGGCAAACATGCAAGCTGCATTTGTCTCCTTTCTTTTAACATAAACGTTAACATTTTATATACTGCTCCACATTTTGCTCTTATTTTTCCAGTTAGTGATAATATTTTGGAAATTTTCTAATATCAGCATATGTAGCTTTCAAGTCTTTTGCTGTTACAGTCAGTGCTGCAGTGAATAAACTTTTACATATGTTGCTTCCTTTGTGCACATGTATTTGTACACTTCAGGTCTTGAAGTGATACTGCAGAGTTGGAGGGTATCTGAATTCCAAATTTTAGTAACCTACTGCAAACTCATTCTCCGTGGGAATTGTACTAGTTTACGCTCCCACTAGTAGTGTATGAGTGTTTCTCAAAGCCTTGCTATCGGAGAGTGTTGTGAAACTTTGGATTTTTGCCAGTTCAGTAGCTGAGAAATGGAATCCTAGGGGTAAGAATTAATTATTCTACTTACAGTGGACTTTATATGGACATACTTCTTCATGACTGATCATCAGAAACCCCCAGGATATTTATTAAAAAGAAGAGTACCTAAGTCCTTCCATGAAATTTGTATCTGTCCAGGAAGCTGTTTTGTTTGTTTGTTTGTTTGTTTTTGAGACGGAGTCTTGCTCTGTTGCCAGGCTGGAGTGCAGTGGCGCAATCTCGGCTCACTGCAACTTCCGTCTCCTGGGTTCAAGCGATTCTTCCGCCTCAGCCTCCCGAGTAGCTGGGACCACAGGCGCGTGCCACCATGCCCGGCTAATTTTTTTGTACTTTTAGTAGAGATAGAGTTTCACGATGGCCAGGATGGTCTCGATCTCTTGACTTCATGATCCGCCTGCCTCGGCCTTCCAAAGTGCTGGGATTACAGGCAAGAGCTTCCGGCCCAGGAAGCTGTTTTTATAATAACTAGAGCCTCCGGTAATTTGGCTGGGATGATTAGCCAGATTGAGAATATTGCTCTGGAAGACTGCTTAGGATATATAAAACTGTGTTTCTAGACCCCATGTATGAGCTATCTGGAATGCTTACCATCTGGGTCCAATGGACATGTTATTTTTTTCATTTTTTACTTTTTATTTTATTTTTTTAGAGTTGGAATCTTGTTGTGTTGCTAAGGCTGGTCTCAAACTCCTGGGTTCAAGCAGTCCTCCTGCCTTGACCTCCCAAAGTGCTAGGATTACAGGCATGAGCCACAGTTCCTGGCCTGATACTTTATTTTTATTTTTTACATTTTTCATTCATTTTATGAATAGTTTGCATAAGTGACAATAAAGAGATAATGCCACACAACTTTACTAGAAATTTTAATAACAGCTTCAACAAAAGAAACACAAATTAGTATTCCAGATTTTCCTGGTTTTGAAGATATGCATAGTTGAAATAGGCAACGTCTTTGAATTCAACTAATTGCTCAACTGTCATGTAATATTTTTTAAAAATCAGTGATTCTGTAGTCCTAAATTTTAATTTTTCCAAAATGTTTTTAATACAGTGGTTCCCGACATTTTTGGCACGAGGGACTGGTTTCATGGAAGATAGTTTTTCCACGGACAGGATGGGGGGATGGTTTCAGGATGAAACTATTTCACAAGGAGTGTTTAACTGAGATCACTATAGGGTTCCTGCTCCTATGAGAATCTAATGCTGCCACTGATCTGACTTGAGGTTAGAGCTCAGGTGGTAATACTGGCTCACCTACCACTCAGCTCCTGCTGTGTGTGGCCTGTTTCCTAATGGGCCACCAACTGGTATTTGTCCTTGGCCTGGGGGTTGGGAACTCCTGTTTTAATAGTTTAGATTAAAACAAGCAAATAAACATATTTCACCTTAAACAGTCACACATCATTTTTAAGAGAGGCCAGTTGTAGTTCGTGGTTTGAGAAGGGGCGAGGTTAGTAACTCAGAAAATGATGAATAGTTCCATTCTAGGTGATAGTATTTGGAAAACTTTGCTAGTGTTTCCTACTTCATTAATCAGAATATTGTATCCAGAGAGCAAATAAACTAGAATTTTAAAATATCGCATACAGTATTTAAGTTGAGGGCCTTTGTTCTGTGCACATATTTAAAGACTTCAAGGAGGTTACTCTGATATTGCCCTGAGGGGTTTGAGGGACAAATGAGAAACTTGGTACTGTGGTAGACAATATAGATAGATAGATGATAGATATATACATACATGCATACATACATAGTCTTTTGAATAAGTCCTGAAACTATCCCAGCCACTAAAAGATCTCTTAATAATCCCATTTGGGAGTTATTTCTGAGGCCTGGGATACATTGGGTTTAGGGGCCTTTCATAAGGCATGAGTCACAGAGATTTCGAGTAACATAGCATGGGCCAAACCTGGTCAAAGGGCATGTGGGCAGTACCATTTCTTTCCAAGGAAATAGGCCAGTGGAAAAAAGCTGTCGTGGTCAGGAAGGTTTGATTAAACTCTATCAGAGCAGATGTGGAAGTTTTATCCTGTTAGTGATTACTCAGCTCAAAGGAAATCCTAGAAACAAAATTCTGTAGTTTAGTTGGTACAATAATAGTGTTTGATAAGAGTTGCAAGTGAGGTAAAATGAGATTCTTACACTGATGTAGTAGTTACTTTCAGAATCCTCTTAAACCTCATTATTGGTCATTATGAAATTCCAGCCACAATTAGAAGGGTTTCTCAGAGTTAGCTTTGCGGTTCTTGCAAAAAGGCTGTGTTTCTGAGAGTTCCCATTAGAGTTAAATATGCAGGTGACTTAATGGAGCCCTTCAGAAAAATAAAGCATTTATCATTTTTCTAGAAGGCTTTGTATACTGTTAGGTTCAAAAGTATAGACTTGCCCTGGAATATTTTGATCTTTTCAATAAGTTTTTAAGATATCTTATTTACTGTTATTTTTATAATATTTATCAACATATTAACATTTGATATCTTCTTTTTTTATTTTTTTTTTTTATTGGTGAGACAGGGTCTCAGCCTGTCACCCAGTTTAGAGAGTGGTGATGTGACAACAGTTCACTGCAGCCTCAACTTCCTGGGCTTAGGTGATCCTCCCACCTCAGCATCCTGAGTAGCTACAGGCGTGTGCCACTGTGCCTAGCTAGTTTTTTGTAGAGATGGGGTTTTTCTGTGTTGCCCAAGCTGGTTACAAACTCTTGGGCTTAAGTGATCCACCCACCTTGTTCTCCCAAACTGTTGAGATTACAGGCATGAGCCCCTGCACCTAGCTACATTTGATATCTTTGAGGATGAGGATAAAGCGTTTATGCTGTGTAAATATATTAGATGTGAGTTCTGCCATCAAGTAACGGAGATAAACATGTACTAGCTATAACTTAAGGCAGAGTTGAGAGAAATTGAAAGGAACAAATAATATCCAACTGAAGCCATCAAAGGCACCGTTTTTGAAGAAATGACACTTGAGGGCCGGGCGCGGTGGCTCAAGCCTGTAATCCCAGCACTTTGGGAGGCCGAGGCGGGTGGATCACGAGGTCAAGAGATCGAGACCATCCTGGTCAACATGGTGAAACCCCGTCTCTACTAAAACTACAAAAAATTAGCTGGGCATGGTGGCGCGTGCCTGTAATCCCAGCTACTCAGGAGGCTGAGGCAGGAGAATTGCCTGAACCCAGGAGGCGGAGGTTGCGGTGAGCCGAGATCGCGCCATTGCACTCCAGCCTGGGTAACAAGAGCGAAACTCCGTCTCAAAAAAAAAAAAAAAGAAATGGCACTTGACCTAGGCTTCAAGGCTAACTAGGATTTTGATCGCTAGAGAAGTCCTGGAAGGACGTTCCTGGAAGAGGATACACCTTTTGCAAAAATATGCAGGCATGGAAGCATGTGACCTAGTGATGAATAGTCAGTCAGTGGTTTGCAGCTACAACATTTTATTACTTGCAAATAAATTTAATGAAATGGGTCAAGAAAGTAAAATTGAGGAATGCTTTGTGATTTAGAAGAATAGTGAGAATTAATTAAGATCAATACACTTAAACCTGAAACTTACTTTTTATGGAAGTGTAAATTAAGGTAATATTTGTTATTTAAAAAAAATTTGAAAGTCCATTTCTTTTCTAGTCTTGAGTTGCTGGTTATGAATTAACTCAAGAGTTGTTCAGACAACTTCAGTTAATATTTGTTCGAAGAGAAACGTCTATGGGGAGAAAAGTTAGGAAACCACTTCATTTTTCAAGATACAGTGGGATTTTGAAGTTAGCCAGTGACAATAAAAAAAAAATCAAAACCAGAAATAGTATTAAATGGCTAGGTAACATTCTTTTCAGTGCATTTTGGTTGTTGATATTGCAACTTGCTTTGCATTTTGTATATTACGTATCATATGCATTTCATTCATTATATATCTTATGCATTTTGTTTATATTGATAGAATGGTTGAACATTTAAGGCAAAAAATTGTGTTTAAGGGAAAGGCTGCTAGGAGATTGATCCTTTGAACCCAAAGAAGATAATTCACTTTGTTCTCCTGGATTAATACAATTAAATCATATTTAATAGTGCTCTCTCAAGAATGTCCTTTTTTTTCCCCCACAAACCTAGATTCTGTTTTTTCCTTAAGGACTGTACCAGGCCACTACTATTCAGCATTGAACTGGAGATTATAGCCAGAGAAATTAGGCAAGAAACAAATAAAAGAAGGGTAATGTCAGCAAGAAGGTGCAACAGAAAGCCCACACGTTTCTTCTCCCCACAGAGATACTGATTCAATAACAATACACACCCCAGATCTCTTTGTGAGAAATCCAGAAACTAGTTAAGAGACTCCTGCATTCTAGGCGAGCAGTAAACCAGCTGCATACAAGATGGTAGGAAAATTCATCCTACTTGCTTACCATAGTTCATTCCCCTGGCTCAGCATGGCATGAGCGAGAGGAAACTCCAGACTCCTGGCTTTTCCCTGGGGAGGGAAAGAGAACACTGAAACATACGTTTGAAATTCAGATTTTTCAAAGGTCTGCCCAAGGGACTGGTTTTTATTTTGCCTGAATATAAGCTCTGACAGGAAAGGGCACCAGGTTGCAGGGTTATTAAAAACAAAGTTGACAGTTTAGCATGCACTCACCATCGTTCCTCCCCCTCCCTCAGCATGAAACCAGCAGGAGAAAATTCTCAACTTTTGGCTTCTCCTTGGGGAGACAAAAAATTTGGAATGTGTGTCCAGTGTTTCAGTTTTTCAGTGGGCTGAGGGACTAGCTTCTGTCTTGCTTATCTTGGAAAGCTGACAGGAGCTGGTGTATCCAGGTGCCCGGGAGCCACTGAGAACAAGAGAGCTGTAAAACTTGTTGCTGCTCTAGAGGACCCATGGTAGAGCAGACAGAGAATGATACAGCTCAGCAGCCTCTCCCTAGGTGTGGCATGAAAGGCCTTGGGGAGAGAATAGTGGAGTATGTGTCTTACGTTCCAGCACTTCAGAGAGCTACCTAAGGAACTGGTTTCTGTTTCACCTGGCTTGGAGCACAGGCAGGAGTGGGCATACTCTAAAAACCCACTGACAGGAAAGGGCACCAGGTTGGGCACCTCTGAAAACAAAAGGCTGGGTGGCTTGCAGCAGTTCCAGAGAACCTGAAGTACGATAGACAGATACCACAGGGAGCAAAAGATTATGAGATCCTGAAAAAGGAAACCAACAAGTTCATCTTGAGAATTTATACACACTAGTCGAGAAGAAGCATCCTCAGGAAAGGTTCAAAAGGTGTGCAGAATCTCTAGTCAGGCTGATCAGTGAGATCTTTCTCTGTATAGAGCCAGCTCACAAAGTCTGGGAGAGGTGATATTTTTTCAGATGCTTAGATTCCAACATGATGTTAAAAGGCACACAAAGAAACAGGGAAACATGGCACAATCAAAGGGTCAAAATATCCAGGAACCAACTTTAAAGAAACAGGTGTATCTTGATTATCTCAGAAGGAATTCAGACTAACCACCATAAAGATGCTCAGTGACCTGAGGAAAATGCTACAGGAACAAAATGATATCAACAAAGAGATTGAAAATGTAAAAAGAAACCAAACAAACGTTGTAACAGATGCAATATGCTTCTTTGACTGATAGATTTACTAGAGGGGTTTAGCAGCAGTGTTTTTCAGGAGAAGAATTAGTGAAATTGAAGCCAGTCATTTGAAATTTTCCAGTCAGAGAAACAAAAATAAAAAGAATAAAAAAAGAATGAAGATAGCCTAGAGTACTAAAGGGACAGCATCAATTGTATCAATATAGATTGTATGGAAGTTCCATATGTTGGAAAAAGAAAGGAGCATTTGAAGAAATAATGCCCAAAACTTCCCAAATCTGAGGAGGATAGCAGACATCCAGATTCAAGAAGCCCAAGGGACTCCAAGGTGGAACAATCCGAAGACATCTACATGGAACCACACCATAATCAAATTGTCTAAGTCAAAGAATTTTGAAAGCAGCAGGAAAAGAGCAACTTGTCATGTACAAAGGAGATCCCGTAGGACTATGAGTAGATTTCTTAGCAGAAACCTTGGAGGTCAGAAAGGAGTGGGATGATATAGTCAAACTACTGGAAGAAAAACTGCCAGCAAAGTATTGTATCTGGCAAAACTTTCCTTCAAAAGTGAAAGAGAAATAAGATTCTCAATAAGAAATAAGCAAAATAAGAAATGAGCAAAATCTGAGAGAGTTCATCACCACTGTATCTGAATGCTGATGCAGTCTATTAAATGGAAACAGAAGGATATTCAACATGAAAGTTTAAAACGAAATGATAAAGCTATGGACAAATATAGGTTTGCATATTCTAATGGTGGTGAGTAAATCACATTTATGTCTGATACATAAATCTAAGACAAAAGTATAAGTGCCTATAGCTATAAAAATGTTAATGGATCCAGGCGCGGTGGCGCATGCCTGTAGTCCCAGCTACTCTGGAGGCTGAGGCTGGAGGATCGCTTGAGCCCAGGAGTTCTGAGCTGTGGTGTGCTATGCCGATCCGGTGTCTGCACTAAGTTCAGCATCAATATGGTGACCTCCCAGGAGCAGGGAACCACCAGGTTGCCTAAGGAGGGGTGAACCAGCCCAGGTCAGAAATGGAGCAGGTCAGAACTCCCGTGCTGATCAGTACTGGTGTCATGCCTGTGAATAGCCCCTGCACTCCAGCCTGGGCAACATAGCAAGACCCTGTCTCTAAAAAATAAAAAAAATGTTAATGGATAAACAGCATAAAAGATGTAATTTTTGACAGTAATGCAGTATAGGGGTGGATGAAAAGAAGCAATATTGTATGCAGTTGAAGTTATCAGCTTAGAATAGGTTTATTATAAGATGTTTTATGTAAGCTCCATGGTAACCACAAAGAAAATACACATAGAAAATACACACAAAAAAGAAAGGAATCAAAGCATATCTATTAAAAACTCTGAAACAACAAGCATGATGGCGAGAGAGGAAAGGAAAGACAAAAAAGCTACAAGAAAGAAAATCAATAACAAAATGTCAATTGTAAGTTCTTCCCTATCAGTAATAACTTTAACTGTAAATGTACTAAACTCTCCAGTCAAAAGACATAGAGGGGCTGAATGGATTAAGAAAAGAAAACCAAGAGCCAGCTATACCCAGTTTATAAGAGACACCCTTTACAGTTATTTAAGGATGCATGCTGAAAGTAAAAGTATGGAAAAAGATATTCCATGCAAATAGTAACCAAAAAGGAGTAGGGGTGACCATATTTATATCAAATACCATACATCATGTACAAAATTAACAAAATAAATCAAACATATAAATGCAAGAACTAAAGACATAAAATTTTTAGAAGAAAACATAAGGATAATTCTTTATGAACTTGAGTTGGGCAATAGTTTCTTAGATGTTACATCTAAAGCATAAGCAACCAAGAAGAAATATAGATTCAACTTTGTCAAAACTAAAAACTTCAGACTGCAAAGTGTACTGTGAAAAAATGAAAAGACAATCTACAAAATAAGAAAAGTGTTTGTAAATCATATATGATAGTGGTCTATGCTGTGGTCTGAATGTTTGTGACCCTGTCCCTCCATTCATATGTTGAATCCTGTAATCATCAAGGGGATGGTATTAGAGTTACCATATGACCCAGCAGTTGCATGCTTAACTATATTCTAAGAGAATTAAAGATGCATTTATTGAAAAAAATATGTAAACTTACATATTATTTACTAACAATGCAAATGCTCATTAGCATTTGTAGCAGCATTATTCATAATAGTCAAAAAGTGCATATAATCCAAATGTCATCTGCTGATGAATTCATAAATACAAGATGGTATACATACAATGGAATATTATTCAGCTATAAAAATGAATGAAATACTGATACATGCTCCAGCAGATGAACCTTGAGCATATGTGAAAAAATCCAGATGACATATTTTTTTTGTTGTTGTTGTTTGTTTGTTTTTAAAGACGGGGTTTCACCATGTTGGTCAGGCTGGTCTTGAGCTCCCGACCTCCGGTGATCCGCCCACCTTGGCCTCCAAAATGTTTGGATTACAGGCGTGAGCCACCACGCCTGGCTGTTGTTGTTTTCTTTTTAGAGATGGGGTTTCATCATGTTGGTCAGGCTGGTCTCAAACTCCCAGCCTCAGGTGATTCGCCTGCCTTGGTCTCCTAAAGTGCTGGGATTACAGGGGTGAGCCACCGCATCTGACCAGAAGCCACATTTTCTAAGATTCTACGTTAAGTATCCAGAATAGGTAAATCCAGAGGCGGGAAGTGTATGTGTGGTTGCCTGGAGCTGGAAGGAGGGTAGAATGGGGAAGGCATGAGATTTCTTTTGGGGAGGGTGGAAATATTCTAAGATTAGACAGTGGAGATGATTGTAGAAGTCTGTGACTATACTAAAAACCATTGCATTGTATACTTTGAAAGGCTTTATTTTAGAATGTGTGAATTATATAAATTTAAAAAGGAACGATTATATACTGTCCAACTAGGAGACAGAGACCATATAGTGATTTTAACAGTAGAGGTCTAATACACAGAATTATTAGTTATAACGTGGTTGAAGAAGTAGAGATCGACTCATTAGAAGTAAAGACAACTTTGAAAAATACTGTAAGAGCAGACTTAATAAGCAGCCACTAACTCCAGGGCTGCTCCCCTACTGGGGCTGATCCAGGTTTGGCTGAAGAGGGGGCAGATGTCACTGGCAGCTGGTGAAGTTGCCAGATATGCTGTTTAACTTCCTCGAAATTCTCCCTCTGGCGTGCTGAACCTTGGAATTTGCTGCAGAAGCCACGTGAAGGGGTTGAGAAAGCTGCTTGGGGAGATTCTTTGATGGTGGCATTCTGCTGCAAAGTTACTCAACAGAGTGCTGGGGTGAGCATCTGCATGCTTGTGAAACTACTTCCTGCGGGTTGCAAGATGCTATAGGAGCAGGTGCTGTAGGTGTCTGGCTAGAGTAGTACGTTGGAACCACGAAAAGAAAAACCTCTTACTCCTCCAAGGTACCTCCAGTTGCTTCTACTGACAAGGCTTAACATCATGCCAGCTGGCAACAGAGCAATATCGAAAGGGCTCAGCTCCATTTTGGGAGAGAGAGCAATAAGAAGTGGATTTGGAAATGGGAGGTAATAAATTGATACCTGAATCAAGAGTCTTATAAACTGTATACCAGTTTAGCATATATTCTGTTTTATTGGGTTGAGTGAAAGTTATTCATCTCAAAACAGCTAAATAAAATTTAAAATATGTATTCATATAACATGTTTAGGGAATTGTGTTTTAAATTATTACAAAAAGCAATTTATGATAACTAAAAAAATATACTTCTACTTAATATAGAAGTATTATTCAATAAAAAGTAAAAATTTCCCTCTTATTCCTCATTCCATTACCATCTGTCTTCCGAAGATAAATCTGGTAGTAGTTGGTATATTTTCTTCTATGTACATATGTGTATGCATACAGTTTTCTTAGTGATAGAGCTTTCATGTATTGATACTGCATATGATCTGCTTTTAGGCTTTTGTTGTTAGAAGGAAATGTAGTTGTATAATGCCCAAGGGCATTGTACTAAGGGTAGTTTCCTAGTCCTGGCTAAGTTGCAAATACTTGTCTAAGTTAGGAGTAAGTCACATAACTGTTCTATTTGATTTTCTGAATTTGTAAAATGAAGGGACTTTTACTTGAAAGGAATTTTAAAATCTGTGATGGATATAGTTCAGTAATAATATTAGGGGAAGGAAGGGTAGTTTGGTAATTGTTAAGTATCAGCTAACTTTTGGTATAGTCTGTATATTCCTATTTTTAAATATGTTTTGCAATTTAAATGTTGTTTTAATTTCTGTGACATCAGAGTAATATAACTTTTTTTTTTTAGAAGAATCCAGCAAAAATGTCTCTCTATCCATCTCTTGAAGACTTGAAGGTAGACAAAGTAATTCAGGTATGATAGTTTAAATATGTTTTCAAAACAGACACAGCAACATATATTCTACTTATAGGTGAAGTAAAGCAGGATAGCTAAATAGTAGATATATTTGTTCATTTTTGCACTTCATAAACCTTTTTTCAGTTTTTTTAATTGCAGGCTAAAAAGTTTACAGAAAAACTAGCAATTTGTTTTTCATTTCACTGTGAATAACAGGAATGGGATTTTTTTTAAATTTGACTTACACTTTCTACATGTAACTTAATTTTCTGACTAAAATTATATGTAACATTGAAGTTGACAAAATATACTCTAATTTTTTAGATATTCATAGTTTTGTGTAAAATTGGTATATTTTTCTTTTGGATCTTTAAGTATAATCACTCTTTAAAGTAATTCTGTGCCTCCTAATTGAGGTTAAAATTACAAAAATAGTGGATTACATGCTGCTTTTGGAAGAGCAGTCGTGTAAAAGCACAAGGAAAGTGTAGTGATTTTTTTCCTTTGAGAGAATGAGCAGCAGACATTTAACTTGCTCATTCTCTAAATGACTGTTAGAGATTGCAGTATTTCTATTTGCATTGAGTTGAAAATTTTTATAGTCCTTAGTATAAGTATTAGCTTTGAAGGCAAACACTTCTGCTTAATAACAAAATGTAGAATGGAGATCAATTCTGGCTATATGGGAAATTTTTGGTAATTTTAACTGGGGATAATTTGTAGTATATGATAATTCATCTGTTTATGGTTAGCTTTCAACTTGATCTCTTATCAATTTAGAATTTCTTCAGCTATTGTTTATTATTTTAATTTGACAAGATAAACAAAAACTCCTTACCTTGAAGATCATATTACTTGAGGCCCTGTCTTTGATTTACTAGAAAGTAAGATTACTTGATAATTGATTTTTGAACAGCTGTTTTCTATCATAGATCCAGTATGGATATTAAAATGAGATTTGTAAAATCTGAAATCTACAGTTCAGCTGTCAAGGTTTCGTTGCCTCAAACAGTCATCTTTTAATTGTTCCTTTCACTTCTTTCTTCAGTATTTTGTCAGTAGTTTCTTCATGTGGTTTTTATTTCCAAGTAGTTCATCTAAGCAAGTACTCTTTCTTTTTGAAAGGCTTTTATCTGAAATATTTAGCTTTCCAAAATAACTACTTAACCATTAATATGACATCAGCACATTAGCTGATAAGGATTTGTAAATGGACCTGAAAGTATGACTAATCTTTCTTTGTTTTCACCCTTTTTTGTTAGCTTTTTATGGAATTGAATGTAAATCACTATAGTCAGATATGAGCTGAGGATTTTGATTTTGCAAACAGGAGAAGAAGAGTTGATATTGACAAATATTGGAATGAAAAATAAAGAGGGCTACCATCTGTATCATGCTGTCCTCTTTAAACAGAAGTGAACTGAATTACATAGGTTTTTCTATTAAAGAACCTTTTATGTTCAGAGCAGAAAGCAGCTGGAAGATAAAACAATGATTAAAGAGCAGGAAACATGGTTCTTTTATTACCCCTGAAGTTGAATTTTAAAATATTTCTAATCTAGCCATTAAACTCTTTGGCTGTATTATTTTTGCATCATTTTCTAAGGCGATGATACTCATGTTTGTTTTTATTCTTAGGATTCCCCTGAAACGGTATTATGAAGGAAGGTAGTATTCATTTTCTCATCTGCTGGCCTTTAACACCACAGCAAAGCTAAATTACAGCAGTGAACCAACCGTTCATATTTTTAAAACTATTCTGTAGCAGCCATTAGGCTGTGGCTTTTAGCATCATACGGTCCCTAGAACTCTATCCATTCCAAATCCTGACAAGAGCCTGTGGTTCCTCTTCTTATGCAAAGTAAGCTTTTAATAAATAATGATATACAGAACCAGAGCTTATCAGTTTGCTAATATCGTGAGCAGAATTTGGCAGAAGTGACTCTATAAGCACAGTTTTTCCAAATCCTTTCTGATAATGACAGAAACAATAGGCCCTGGCATGCTCCCTGGGGCACCCCAACCCGTTTTTATTAGTAGTGTCAGATTTCAAAGGAAGTTTGAAATAAGTAGCTACATTTAATGGTGTACAGTACTTGAAATTGGGTTACATCCTTTTGTTTCATTTTTATTGCAAATAATTAAATTTATATAACTTTGTTTACAGGGAGCTTTCTATATGTATTCTTCAGTATTCCTTGGATTAAAAACAATAGCAGTGAAAGTATAGAAAATCATAACTACATACAAAGAAGAGGTATTTTCATTTAGTAAGCTGTGTTTTAGAGCAATTTTGGATTCACAACAAAATTGATCAGAAAGTACAGTATACCCTCTGTCCTCACACATGCACAACCTCCCCCAGTATCAGCATCTGCACCAGAGCAGTACATCTGGCTCATTAGTTATCACCCGAAATCTACATGTTTACATTAGGATTCACTATTTTGACAAATGTACAGTGACATGTATATAGTCATGTATTGCTTAAAGATGGGTATTTTCTGAGAAATGCCTCATTAGGCAGTTTTGTTGTGCAAACATGATAGAGTGTACTTCCACAAATCTGGATGGCGTAGCCTACTACAGATCTAGGCAATATGGTATAGCCTGTTGTTCCTATGCTGCAAACCTGTACAGCATGTTACTGTACTGAATACTGTAGGCTGTTGTTATACAATAGTATTTGTGTATCTAAACACAGAAAAGGTATGGGAAAAATATGGTGTGAAAGATTTTAAATGGTACATCTATATAAGGCATTTATCATGAATGGAGCTTCCAGGACTAGAAGTTGCACTGGGTGAGTCAGTGAGTGAGTGGTGAGTGAATGTAAGGCCTAGGACATTACACTGCTGTAGACTTCATCAGCACTCAACACTTGGGCTGCACTAAATTTATAGAAAATTTTTTGTTCTCAAATAATAAATTAAACTTAGCTTCCTGTAACTTAATTTTTTTAACTTCCTACTCTTGTAACATAGTTTAAAACACAAACACATGGTACAGCTGTATAAAATATTTTCTTTCTTTATATCTTTATTCTATAAGCTTATTTTTGAAATTCTTAGTTTTTAAAAATTACTTGTAAGTTAGTTAAAAACTAAGACACATGCTCATATTAGCCTAGGCCTGCACAGGTTCAGGGTCATCACTGTCTTCCACCTCTGCATTGTCCCACTGAAAGATCTTCAGAGGCAGTAACATGCATGGAGTTTTCATCTCCAATGAGAACAGTGCCTTTTGGAATGGAATACTCCTGAAGGATCTGCTGAGACTGTTTTACAGTTAATTTTTTTTTTTTTAAACAGAGTGTCACTCTGTCACCAGGCTGGAGTGCAGTGGCTCGATCTTGGCTCACTGCAACCTCCGCCTCCTGGGCTCAAGCGATTCTCCTGCCTCAGCCTTCCAAGTAGCTGGGACTACAGGTGCAAGCCACCATGCTGAGCTAATTTTTGTATTTTTGGTAGAGATGAGGTTTCACCATGTTGGCCAGGATGGTCTCGATGTCTTGACCTCATGATCCACCTGCCTCAGCCTCCCAAAGTGCTGGGATTACAGATGTGAGCCACCATGCCTGGCCCAGTTAACTTTTTTTACAAGTAGAAGAATATACAAGTAAAGATAAAATGTATAACACAGGAAAGACATATATGAGTAACAGTCATTTATTATCAACTAATTATGTACCATGCATAATTGTAGGTGCTGTCCTTTTATATGACTGGCAGTACAGTAAGCTTATTTACACCAGCATCACCACAAAGTAATGAGTTGTTCTGTGTTGCAGTAGCTTATAATGTCAGTAGGCAATCAGAATTTTTGAGCTTTATTATAATCTCATGAGACCACTGTTGTATATGTGGTTCATCATTGACCAGAATATACAGCACATGACCGTATACCATTGTAGCATTAGACAGAATAGTTTCACTGCTCCAAAAATCCTTTGTTAATGCCTGTTCTTCCTTCCCTTCTAGCAACTCCTGGCAACCAATAATTTCCTTTTGCTTTTGTGATTTTTTTTAGAGTCAGGATGTCTCTCTGTTGCCCAGGGTGGAGTACAGTGGTATAATCATAGCTCACTGCAGCCTCTATCCTCCTGCCACAGCCTCCTAACAAATTTATTTTTTTTTGAGATGTAGTCTTGCTTTGTCACCCAGGCTGGAGTACAGTGGCGTGATCTTGGCTCACTGCTATTTCTGCCTTCTGGGCTCAAACAATTCTCCTTGCCTCAGCCTCCTCAGTAGCTAGGATTTACAGGCAACTGCCACCATGCCTGACTAATTTTTGTGTTTTTGCTAGAGATGGGGTTTTTGCCACGTTGGCCAGTCTAGTCTTGAACTCTTGACTTCAGGTGATCCGCCTGCTTTGGCCTCCCAAAGTGCTGGAATTACAGATGTGAGCCACTGCGCGTGGCCAAAAATTTTTTTGTGTATAGACAGGGTTTTCCTATGTTGTCCAGGCTGGTCTTGAACTCCAGACCTCAAGCAGCTCTCCTGCTTGGGCTTCCCAAAGTGCTGGGATTAAAGGCCTGAGTCACCATGCCTGTCCTAATATTTTATTGTCTCCACACTTTTGCATTTTTCAAGATGTCATATAGTTGGAATCATAAAGTATGTAGCCTTTTGAGATTGGTTTCTTTTAATTAGTAATATCCACTTAAGTTTCCTCCATGTCTTTTCATGTCTTTTTAGCTCATTTATTCAGTGCTGCACAGTATTTTTTTTCTTGGACATGATTCAAGAAGTAATACAAAAAGCCACTAGCTCCTTTTAGCTAATAAGTGGCAAGAGAACTTTCAAAGTTCAACCATGTTCAGTTTGTGGATTGTTATTTACAATAATAAAGATTTTCGTGTTGTATTTTAAGTGTAGAATGTGTAACAAATTATGAAATAATAAATATTAAAGGATGACTCAACAAGTATATCAGAATATATGATTTTAGTACCATTCATAGCTTTTGTAAGCTTATTTAAACTGAGCTTTCATATCTGTAAGCATCTTTAGGACTACTCTTGACATTGATTTTAGGGCTAGATTGAGATACTACTGTGAACTTCATTTCTTTAAATGATACATTCCAATAAGTAAAAATTTGGTAATTAGAGATTGGTCATACAACTTATTATCAAACTTGTCTCTAATGCCATATAGCAATTTCAGAAAGTCAGATCTAATTGTAAATGATAAAGTGTTTCAGTCAGTGAGATACATCATATGATGTAGGCCATCAAGGCAGCCCTCAGAAGAGGATACTTAAGCATGAGTAGCACTGATAAATCTTTACCATATCAGAGTGATTTTGGCAAGTTTGTTTAACAGTTACAAATTACATTACCCTGTCATCATCCATTTACGTTAGTGATAAAGTGTACTATTGCATAGTTTCTGATATTTTAAAAGTACTTATTATAGCATAAACTCCTTATTATACATGCTGCAATGAAGATAAAGATGATTTCAGTGGGACATGCTAAAATGTTAAATATTAGCAGCTTGGTTAGTATTAATTTTTTAGGTGTTTTTCTGATATGTGACTTTTTATATAAATATGGCTGAGCTTTTTTCTTATGCAAATAAAATACTTTTACTTGGACTAATTAGTAAAAGAATAATGATAATATAAAATTTATTCATTTTAGAATGCACTTTGAAAATGTTTGTGGCAGTACTATGAAATACTGGTTATAAGACATGTAGAATGGTACTTCTACAATTTTTACATGATAGCCTTAGAAGTATTTAGAATATCAAATATAGTTTTGATTTGCAGATTTCCTTTGAAAAATGTATTGCTGACGTGTTTGAAATTAACCCTTGTTAAATAAATCTTCATTTTTTTGGTTTCTTTTTGCAAGTATTGGACTTATAAATTGTATAAGAATATAAAGTAAGTATGGCATATTGTTAGAATTTTCTTCTTTTCTTTTTCAGGCTCAAACAGCTTTTTCTGCAAACCCTGCCAATCCAGCAATTTTATCAGAAGCTTCTGCTCCCATCTCTCAAGATGGAAGTAGGTTTATATTTTGAGTTTATTCTCTGTGAACAGAAATATTGTTGTCTTCTTTGCTCAAACAAGGAATCCAAGATTTTTTTTTTTGACAAGCTGCATAAAATTGGTGTTTAAGCTGTGGTAGTTATTAATAAGAAAAAAAGTTTACTTTAAAAACTAACCCTTTTTCTAATCAAGAGAGTGAACTGTGGCTCTTTGGATGTATTTTATGGTTTAATGAAAATTGATTTTAGCCTGACTCATAAATCCCTAACATATGGCTGATTCATTTATGAATGCATTATATCTATGAATTCACATATATAAGAACTATAGTTGCCCCATGCTGCTGCTGTTGAACTTTCTGAATTGTCCTTTGTCTTTCCTATGGGAGCTTCTGAAATTTCTAGCCACCTCCTCTCTGGGGAGCTTCCTAAATCTTGAGGTCTTTATTCATTCTCTGTATCCTGTCTTTGGTCCCTTTTTCTTCGAGGTTCAGAGGGATTCAGGACAAAGCTCCTAAATATTATGACTTAGGATACAAAATAAGTGTTAAATAGGTTTTTGTGGTCTGTCATTTTCAGTTTATAACATTGTGTCTCATAGAAAATTCATTTTAAGTCACAGATAATTCATTTTAAGTCTCATGTAAAAAAGAGCTTTTGGAAATAGTATATAACTACTAATAAGTGACATAATGTTAATATTTAAAAATGTTTCCAGGATTTCATTGGAATGTGGTTAACATTATTAAAATAAGACACTAAATAAATGTACAAGCTTTCAAAAAAATTGTTCAGAAGAATCATTCCATAGTCCTTTTTACAGAATGAGTTATCAGTAGCTGACTTGACAAATAGATATTTTGGTCAGTTTTGAATTGGAGAATCAATGGTATTCTTATTAAATTCCTAATCAAGTAGATTTAAGAAACAGGAAAGGCAAGATAGCTTATTTGGAAAAATTGTTTCTACTTTTGAGTATTTAAGAATCTCTGGTTGTTTCAGTTCAGATGTCTTCATATTTTAAGAATTTTAAACATTTTCTGTATTTTCTATTTCTGATCATTACAGAGATGGGGAAGTGCCTTTCCAAATTGCTACTTTAAAATCATTCCAGATTTTATCACTTAAATGTAATTTTGTTAATACACAGAAGCCTATAATAAAAGTAGTTTTCATTTTGTGTATTCTGTAAGTGCTTTTTAATTTATTCATTCATTCATTTACTTATTAGATCTCTATCCCAGACTGTATCCAGAGCTCTCTCAATACATGGGCCTGAGTTTAAATGAAGAAGAAGTACGTTCAAATGTGGCCATGGTTTCTGGTGCACCAATTCAGGGGGTATGTACAGTGTAATTAATTTTGAATTATATAAAACCGTACTTTACATGTAAATATAAGCTCTCCTCTCTGTGGCTAACTCACAAATATATAACTAGCATTGAACCTCACTTGGCAGAATTTTTAGACTTCCTTTGGATATTATTTCTTACATAGTCTACTTCATTTTGTGCTACACTTTTTGAGTTTATTAGGACTTAGATTCAGATACCTTTTAATACTCCATTCTCCTTTGTCTTCTGCATTTAGTCAGTTTCTAAATCCTATTGATTCTGTTTCTGTTTCTTATATTCATTTTATCTGTTTTTTGTCCATT